ATCCTGCTGCCTCAATCTACCACATTTGCTTTCTTCCTCAACCTGTAAGTTCTACATTGGAGAACTCTAAAAGCTGGTGGGCATGCTGTTCTTCCTAGCTACCTCACCTATCCATTTTGGATTTTTGCTTCATAAATGCCTTAAGTTCTGTTTTCAGAATCAGAGTCCTAGCCTGGAAATATCTAGATATTCTTCAAATTCAACTACCAATGAGGAGAGGTGATCTGAAGAGCCCAACTCAGAAAATATTCTATGCCAAAAATAAAAATGTATGCACAAAAGAGAATCTGGTTCCAAGAACTGTTTTCTTTCCAAGATACTTTTTCAAATCCTCTCAATTACTGAAGATAAAGAGCTTCTATTTAAGCACTTGTTAACACCATGTAGTTTCTAACAGTCTCCAACCAGCCACAGCCTGTACCTCCCCTCCTACAAGTGTAAAAAGGGGGTCTATACCCCTTAAAACTGGGGTGTGGACACTCAGCAGAAAGAAGGTGGCCCAGGGAAGATTCAAAAGAATACACCAGAATGTCTCTGAAAAAAGGAATACTAAATGGATTAACTCAGGAGTACCAGAATTAACCTCCTTCCTGTGACCTTTAACCTAACTGAATTTTCCTCTATTCCAAACCCACTCTATGCTCCCCTCCTCCGCCCTCTTCACCTGCTCTCCTCCTGGCTCCTTTTTTTTTTTTGCCCAGGCCACCCTCTGATGTTTCTCTTACATTCGCCTGTCTGAAGACCTGAGCACCAACATACCTCACATATTTCAATGTCACCTCCTTCAGCTGGGGGAAATGGCGTTCTTCTCTCACAAACAACTACTCCTCAGTTAAAACAAATGTAGAGCCAATTTAGAACAGGCATAAATTAATAAATCAGAGTAATACTAAGAGGCCTCCTTGGATAGCCTTTGCTCTTTGTGCCATCCTCAGCAAAAAGCCTTGAACCCTAAAATACTTTATTAGAACAGCAGCTTAATTTCCACACTAAAGCTACTTTTCAAACAATAAAGCAGAAATCTCTACATTTTTGTATTTCCCAATAAATCCTGGTGATTACTTTTACGAAAATCATACTTAATGTTCCCACTTAACTTTTGGGGGGAGTATAAACCAAAATTCACAGAACACTCACAGACACACACACACACAGTCTCCACACATTCATAAACTCTCTGCACTCTCCTCTTTCCCCAAGAACTAGTTCTGTTAAAAGTACAGGGAAAATGGAGCACCCCCAGACACACAATGGGGCCACTGTACTAAAAGGTAGAGCTTTTAGGGGGAGGAGCAGAGGTATTATAAATAGAACTGAGGAGGGAACCTTTCTCCCCCCTCCCGGGATTTCTCTGATCTTTTTCTGGCCTTGGAGTTGCTGTAAACCCCAGACCTTGGGGCTCCTCCAACTTGAGAGGAAACAGGACTGGGCCAACCCAAAAAGGCAAGTAGGGCCCTGTGCTGGAGGGGAACGGTGAGCCCCAGAAGCACACAGATGCAGCCCAGCTGCCCAGGTGAGGCGACAGGACTGGGAGAGGAAGTCCTGGCCAGCAATGATTCCAACTGGAAGGCGCCACACTGGGCAACTGGGAGGAATCCCAATCCTCTCCTCATGTTAACATCCCACGTTTCTTAGTTCTCTCTAGTTGAAAACTTTAGACACCTACACAGTTGATTTTCTAATTAAAGTTTTAAGGGGGGCGGGTAGGGAATACTGAATCAGATTTTATATCATTTACTCCAAAAAATAAACCAGGCAATATTTTCACAATGCCAGAGTGTGGCAGGGCAATGTACAACTATTATGTCCAAAGTTTTAAAAAAAGTAATTTAGCTGGGCATGGTGGCGCACGCCTTTAATCCCAGCACTCGGGAGGCAGAGGCAGATGGATCTCTGTGAGTTCCAGGCCAGCTGGGGCTACAGGGAAACTTTTTTAAAAGTAATTTACTTTTTTTTTTAAAGACTATCACAAATGTCTCCACTACCTACATCACTTCCTAAGCTTGCAAAAGCAACCAAATGAAAAATCCTTCCACAGACAATGGCTTCTCGATGTGTTACATAAATGGGCTACTTTCCTATACTGGAAAACACACTTGACAGAAAAACACACTGCTCTGGAATACTGCAAATGTGATGCTGCCACTGCAGCACTCAAGAACCTGTGAAGTGTAATATTAACTCTTTGAGAGGTTATGTTCTGAAAAAACTTCATAATTTTTAAATGTGTTGAAAGAATGAAAATCCTGTTTCTCAACTGGTGTAGGAGGACCAGGTGAATCACTAAAAGCATTTCAAATATTTAGGTGTGGAGTGGGGGTATAGCTCCGCAGTAGAACACTTGCCTAGCATGTGCAAGACCCTGGGTTTGATCCCCAGCACTGCAAAAATAAAAAACAATAAATATAGAAGGATCTGAACACTCCAGCCCAGACTTTGTGAACCAGAATCTCTATGGTAAAACCCAGATTATCTGCATTTGTAAAGTTTCCCTGAGATTCTAGTGTACATACCATATACCTAATTAATAACCACTGCACAAACAGTAGGACATGATTCCTTAATCAAGAGGCCACAAGTAGCCAGATGTAGTAGCTCATGGCTGTAATCCTCAACATTTGGGAGGTAGAGGAAGGAGGCTATGGAGTTCAACATCATCCTTAGCTACATAATATGAGTTCAAGGCCGGCCCAGGCTATGCATCCCCCCTAAAAAAGAAACTTTTAAGTAGATCAAGATTAACTCAGGTCTGAGTTTCCTTACTGAAATGAGATGGCTGAACTGCACAGAAGTTGAATTTGGGTTAAGGATGTAGCTGTGTTGGAGAAAGCTTGCCTAGCACCTAGCAAGGACAAGGTCCAAATCCTTAGTGCTTCAGGGAGAGTTGGGGGGAGTTGAACCAGACTAGTGGCAATGTAAAATGGAATAGCAACACAGAAATCCAGCACTCAAAAGCAGAAGAGCTATGAGTGGGAAAAGGTGTTTCCGTCTCATTCCCAGGTCTCCCCAAGAGTTCCCATGATTCCACAGAAACCAAGATAGTCTCAGGCCAGCTGTGGCTTCCAAATTCCTTGACCTTCAAAACCCAGAAGTTCACAACTGAAGTGGCAGAGGACTTACTTTTTGTCTTCTTACAAACTTCCCATGAGAAAATGTTCCCTTTTCTAACAGTATATTCATATCTCTTGCTATCTAAATTTCCATTTTTAAGAGTTTGAGAAAGGAGCTCAGTGGTACAGCACATGCATAGTGTGCTTGAGGCCTGGGGTTTGACCCACAGCACCACCAAAACTATCCTAATAAACTTCCATTTAGAGTTATCGCTAATCCTCATCTAAATCATCACTAACAAACCTTTCTGATTTTCTGGAAAGGCTTTAAACTCACAGAAGCAGCCTAGATTCAAGACGACAAAACAAAAAAAACAAAACAAAACAAAACAAAAAAATATCATGTTAGGGATTACCCAGGAAAGGGGAAAGAATGAGACCTGGGACTCTTACCATTTTTAGAGAAAAGGGAAGATCTAAAGGGCTAACATGTTAGTTCTGGGACTCAAGAATGCTTGTCATACTGTCAAGTTTCCTGCAGCATTTTTAAGATTTTTTAGAATTATTTAAAATATAAAGTCACACCTTCATCACTTTTGTTTTATCAGCCCTATTTGAAACATCCTTGATTTTCATTAAACTTTGAAGACAAATATCTTTCATATTTTTTCATTTTTTTTCATATTTGTTGTGAGGGATACCTCACGAGCCTTTTCCACCAAAGTTCACTTATAGGATATGTAATCTACAATTGTATTTATCTACCATGGAATCTTGCAAAGAACATAAGCAATAGAAAAAAAGGGACTACTGATAGCAAACTGACACCCTAAAATTAAGACCACAAGGTCTCAGGATACCTGGAAAAGACAAACAGCAGCTGTACAACCACTTCATAAAAAATGCAGAGGAGCTGGGTGTGGTGGTGCAAGCCTGCAATCCCAGCACTTAGGAGGTGGGAGAGACGGCTTAGGAGTTCAAGACAGACCTCAGCAACATAATGTGTTTGAGGTCAGCCTGGGCTACATGATATCCTGTCTCCAAAAAAAAAATCAAGCCACGGCAAGAGAACAAGAGCAAAAGCAAGCCTATGGTAAACCACCTTTGACTATTTCCAAACGGATGGACCTATACCTATAGCAGGACCCTTGTCAGACAAAATTCTTTGTTTTCTTCTACCCTGGGGATCTCACCAGGACTGTGGGTATACTAGACAAGAATTCTACCACTGAGCTACATCCTCAGCCCTTCACAGTACTACCCTTATAAGCCTCCTGGAACTAGGCCTGGTGGTACATGCCTTTAATTCCAGTTCTTGGGAGGCAGAGGCAAGTGTATCTCTGTGAGTTGAAGGCCAGGCTAGTCTACAGAGTGAGTTCCAGGCCAGCTTGGGTTATATACAGGATAACCCTGGCTCAAAACAAAACAAAACAAAACCCAACAATAACAACAAAAGAATATCAACCCTAACCGAAAATGCTTTTTCTAACAGTACTTACAGCATAAAAAATTAACATAAATCTGGAAATTATCAGTATATACAAATGTTCAACACAGTGTTTCATGATAAACCACCATTACCTACTTGGTCCCATGAATAAACACCCTACCTGCACTTATTCCACTCTAACAGTCTCATCTACGATATACACAAAGAAACTCATCTGTGGGGGCTAGAGAGATTGCTCAATGGTTAAGAACACTGGCTGCTCTTTCAGAGGACTGGAATTCCAGTCCCACTACCCATGTCAAGTGGCTCACAACCACCTGGAATTCCACGTCTAGGGTATCCAACAACCTCTTCTGGCCTCTGTGGACACCCACACACAAGTAATGCATACACACACACACACACACACACACACACACAATTTCAAATAAAAGGAAATTTGTGTTCACACCACATCAGTTCCCTTTTCCCAGTCTTCTTTCCAGTCAGCCCATCTTTACCTCTTTGCTTCTTCCAAGTGACAAAGGTACTCATAAGCCACATTCTGACGTCTCCTTTCATCCATCTCCTCTGCAGTGAGTCTCTCATTATCTAGGACAGCTAAAACACAAAGGAAAGATTGTAAATGCCAGGATATGTAACCTTCCTCAGCAATAGAAGGCCACAGCCATCAAAATCCTGCTAATCACCTAGAAAGGCAAGATAACTAACCGGTGGATATGTGAATAGCCAGGTGTACTACAATACTTTCCTAAAAAATCTCCAGGGGCTGGAGAGATGGCTCAGCGGTTAAGAGCACTGACTGCTTTTGCAGAGGATTCAAATTCAATTCCCAGTACCTACATGGCAGCTAACAACTGTTTGTAAACTCCAGTTCTAGGGGATCCAATGCCCTCTTCTGACCTCTGAGGGCACTGCACGACACAGGTGCACTTAATACACATGCAGGCAATACACTCATATACATAAAATAAAAATAAAAAACTTTTACAAAACAAAAAACCTACACGTGGTTTTAACTATAGTTATCGTCTCCCTTTAAAAAAATGTACATTAAGGGCTGGAGAGATGGCTCAGCAGTTAAGAATGCTGGCTGTTCTTGCAGAAGACCCGGGTTCAAATCCCAGCACCCACATGGCAGCTAACAATTGTCTGTAACTCCAGTTCCAGGGAATCTGACAGCCTCTTCTGACCTCTGCCAGCAGTGCACGACACAGGTGCGCTTACCTACATGAAGGCAATACACGCATACACATAAAATAAAAAATAAATACAATTTTTTAAAAGATGTACATTAAGTGGGGGTGGGAGGGCATTTAGGCTGCCCATGCTCCAGTGGAAGGCCCCACACCTAAACACATATGACTAGTATTAACTGGACTTAGTAGGTTATTTAAAAAGGAGGATGCGAAGTTGGGAGGGGGCTGTGTTTGGGGATCCCAGGGAAGTTGAAAGGGAGAAATAGGAGGTAGATATAATCATATTTCATCTATGTATAAAATTCTCAAAGAACAAAATGTTTAAATAGTTTTAACTGTATGGTAATATATGGCATATTTTCTTGTAGCTCCAAAAAGTACTGAGTTTCTGTCAGAACTCTTCCTAAACATAGAGCTAATCATTCGCCCACCTCTTTATTAATAACCAAAGCTAGCAGTTATTGAGGGCTGAGTGGTAGTAATTGGGCTAAGCATTTCCCATGCATTCTCTCACTGAAGCCCACAATCCTGTGATTATCACTATTTGACAGATGAGGACTAGTAACAAAGAAGCCTAGATTTAAATTCACCTATCTCCAAGGCCTGTGAGCTTAAACTTGAAGCAATCTACCTCCTCCATGGTCACCCAAAGGTGTGGAATAAACTCCTAAATCCTTAGGAAGGCAATCAAATCACTTCCAACACTTTTGGAAATGCTTTACCCCTCTCCCTTGCCCTTTCAATCCCACCAGTAGCACACCACTCAGTTTCCTACACAGTATCCCTGTACTTTTTTAATACCTTATTAGTTCATGCTCTTCCCTATTTAAGTCATGTCTTGTTCACCCAGCCCTACACAGAGCCTACAAGGCTCTGTTCACACATCATCATCATCTGTTATTCCCCAAGTCCCTTCTCCTCATCCACTTCACTCTGTAGACCTAGTCGGTTCATGCATCTTTTATCTTTATTGAATCTATTATCAACTGTCTGTACACCTGTCTCTCTGATTAAAAAATTTTTGAAGACACAGCTTGATCTTACTCATTCTTAATTTCAGAAACGTGATACAATAGTTCACACACTGTGGATGAGTGAAAGCATCCTTTAAAAACACATTATCCCTGTAACGCAAAACAAAACCGAAACCCCAGAGACCCCCAAAGGCCCTTCTTGTATCAGTGGTACTATCCCACGTACAGTTCATTGATGGTCCTGAGATAACTAGAGAAAATGAGGACGTGTGTGTGTGTGTGTGTGTGTGTGTGTGTGTGTGTCTGGGATAACTAGAGAAAATGAGGACGTGTGCGTGTGTGTGTGTGTGCCAGTATGTGTTAATTTTACTTTTGAAATTCTGACGGGGGAACCAAGCTCGAGGGTGCTCAAGAGCTTTGCCTAGAACTGCACCTCGCAGTCAGCCTGGGGCGGCGTAGGTCTGGACCCTGAGTCACGCTGGCAGGCAGCACTCGGAGCCAGCACCTTCCCACCCAGCCAGAGCAGAGCCCCCGGCTCCGGTCCCCGGGACACGCCCTGCACCGTCCTACTGCCACCTCACCCCAGGCCGTCTTCCCCAATCTCGGCCGCGCTAGGCGGCGGAGGCGCTGGGTGGGGCTCGCCGGCCGTAGCGCCGGGCTAGCTAGGGCAGGAGGCCTCCAGGGTCCTACCCCCTCCTCCGGAGCTCGAGGGGCTCAGGCGCCAACCTTGCCTCCAGCCACCCGTCCCGGCTGACTCTTCCGGTTCCTCGCGGCCCGCAGCCACCTAGCCGCACCCGCCGGGCCGAGCCCCACGGAAAATCGTGCCTTGGGCAATAGCGAGCCGGGTCCCTCGTCCCGCACCCCGGAGCCCTCGGCACTCACAGCCATAGTGCGGCCGGGCCACGCCCAGCCCGTCAACCTCGTCCGCGGCGGACATGGCGGCCAAGCCCGGGTCTCTGGTGAGGAAGCGGTGAGACCTGGAAGACGCGGGCGGCGGCAGCTGCAACTCCTAACGAGTGCGCGGGCTGTCGCGGTCCCTGGGGCCCCGCCCGGCGCCATCGGCCCCACCCTGCGGGCCCCGCCCCACAGCCCCGCCCTCAGGCCCCGCCCATTCTTTCCGCCTGGGTTGAGCGGGAGGAGGCGGGGTCAACCCTGCAGGCCCCGCCCCTCGATTAGGCCCCTCCCCTCTGTTGGTGAACCTCTGCACGCGGAAGCGAGAAGGAGGTACGCTGTAGGGGAGTGCAACGCCCAGGTCCGTCTCTCAGCCCCCGGCTCCCCAGCCACTGCCCTAGTCGCAACGCGGACGGGAAGGCGGGCAGTATCGCTGAGTTAACCCGTTTGCCCCGCGGCTCATTAAAGGCACCCTCTCAGGTGGCCCAGGGTGTTTGTGTTGGTCACACTTAGGACCCAGTTGCCGCGGAAAAAAAAAACATCCGACCCAAGTCTCCCTAGGGTCTGTCAATCTGACCTCAGTTCTCGCCCAGCTGTACCTAAGTAGAACTGCTCAGTATTTGAGATGGAGTTGCTAAAGCAGGAGAGTTGTTTATCTGACTAACTTAACACTCCTTGTTCTTTGCAAGCTCTGGGGGCTCCTTGCAGCCATTAGGGACACCTCTTCAGCTGCCCTCGTGGTGTGCCCTCAAAGTATCAGTATGCAACGGAAATCTGCCTTTGCTCCAGTCTTAGTAGCTTGCCAGGCATGGTGGTGTATACCTGTAATCATCGACACACTTCGGAGACCAAGGCAGGAGGATGGCCTTGATTTCGAGGCCAGCCTGGGTTATAGAGTGAGACACTGCCCAAAGGAAAATAAATGTCCTCAGTAACCTTATGCTCACCCGTGAATTGCTAATAGCCCCTATTTATAGAGTAGACCATCTGGAAACCCCTCAGTATTTCCAAATTGTCTAAAGCTCACTTTCACCTGCTCTCCCATAGACACTTCAAGTTGCACGTGCCAAACATTGACCCTGCTCCTGTAGTATTCTCAGTTACCTGCAAGTACTCAGTCACCACTCAGGCACACCCCAGGATCCTTGCCTATTTCTGAAGTGTCTAGCTTTTGTCTCTATCCCCATCTGTGATTGCACTGCTTAGTGTATCAACATCTCTATTCTCACTTCTGCCAAATAGACTCTCACAGTCACCTGGGGGATCTCCCCCAACCGCAAATGCAGTGTTCTTTTTCACAGATTTACTTTCCCCATTATGCCCGTCACAAGGAGGTTCAAGTTCCTTAACATGCCAAACAAGCCCCTTTACAACCTGATTCCAGGCATTCTGTTCCAGCCATTTTTCAATTTACTGACTCTTCCTTCAAACTTTTTTTTGTGGTGCCCTTGGCACCACAAATCTAGCACATGACCTGACATATGCTAGTCAAGCATCCTGCCACTAAGTTATACCCACAGCCCTGAACAATTAAAGTAAGAAGATGCATGACAATCCATAAGTGTCTGGGTATGATGGTTCATGTACACCCACAGGTAGGTTGCCCCTGGACCAGATGCTGATCTTTTGGTTCAGCTAGCTGTGGTCAGGAGATAAAACCAATTAAAGACAGCAAACTATAAGCTAGGTATTATAGATGAGAAGGCTGAGGCAGGAGGATGGCAAGTTTGAGGCCAGCCTGGACCACACAGTAAGACCTTATTTCAACAAAACAAGCAAAGATATTTTCAATTTTGTGATGATGTGAAAGTGATACATATTCAATAGAAACCATATTCAGATTTTAAATTATAACCTTTGCTTGGGCTAGAGAGATTCAGTAATTACCCAACTGTAGAATAATGTAAGTGTTCTGAGCAGTTAAGCTAAACCATGGCATCCTCTAGGTTGCCTTTCAGCTTACCACGTTTTCAAGTTAAGTGGGCTATTTAAGACATAACGTCATTATAAGTTGAAGAGCACCTGTATTTTTTCAATGGGCGACTGAGTAAACAAACAATGCTCAAAATTTCTAATATGATATTCAAATAAAGATAAATTCTGAACTCACAAACATATTATGATACTATTTTACTTTAAAGGAATAGACAGCCAAGGACAGTTTCCACACCTTTAATCCCAGCACTTGAGAGACAGAGGCAGGAGGATCAGAAGTTCAAGGCCATCCTTGGCTACATAGTAAATTCAAGGTCAGCCTGGCTATATGAGACTCTCTCTCAAAAAAAAAAAAGTCAGAGGTAGTGATGCACACTGAATTCAGGAGGCTAAGGCAGGAGGTTCATGAGTTCAAGACCCTGCCTCAGGTCAGGGGAAAGAAAAAGACATTGTCTCAAAAAAGAAAAAAGAAGTGTACATGCCTAGATATTGATAATGGGTTCTCCAGGTAATGAAATTACTAGATTGTGTGGGTATCTGTGTTCTCCACAATGAACTACAACTTTGCAAATAAACACAAATATGAAATTTATTAAATATAAAATGAATCAGTAAATGAAATTAAATGTCAAAATAATGAACTGTGCGGTCATTTTAAGAAATCTCATTGGTTCATGACCTCTAAGAATTTATAAGCTGATGGGAGTGGAGCAATAGTAACAGAATGGCTTGATATATACACTATTAGAGAGGTTTCCTTTGACCTGTTAGCCTCTTATCTGCCTGGGAAATTCCTGATTAACTTCCCTCACCCAATTGAAATATTGTTCCCTCCCTTTGAATTTGTCACTCATTTGTTTCCCAGCAGCACTTCAGGAACCACATATCTTCAAAATTAAGTCACAAGTTCTTTCACATTAAAAAACTTCTGAAATCAAGAAAAGTCCTAGAATCAGCATTTCAAAAGCCTAACTGGGTACCTCAAAAAAAAAGTCGATGGGGAAGAAATCTAATTGTCATTGATTAAAATGTGTGAATTCAGGAGAGAGCTTGCCTAGCATTCTTGAAGCCAGAATTTAATTCCCACCTCCCAGCATAAACCCAGTATGGTGGCACATGCCTGAAATCCCAGCACTCAGGAAGTCAAAGCAGGAGGACTGCAGCAGCCTGCCTTACAAAGCAAGTCCCGTGTCTCAAAAAGAAAAAAAAAGTCTATTTGAGGGTCTTGGAAATGGCTCAGCAGGTAAAGGTGCTTGCCACCAAGACTGACAACTTGAATTCAATCCCTAGGTCCCACATGGTAGGAGATAATAGACACACAATAGGTAGGTAGACAGACAGACAGACAGACAGACAGATAGATAGAGCCCCAGCTATCCTGGAACTCACTATGTAGACCAGGCTGGCCTTGAACTCACAGAGATCCGCCTGCCTCTGCCTCCTGAGTGCTGGGATTAAAGGCGTGCACCACCATGCCCAGCGAAGATAGATGTTTTTTTTGTTTGTTTTTTAAATAATAATAAGTTCTAGTTTGGAGAGATGGATCAGTGCTTAAGAGTGCCTGCTGCTCAATCATGAGGACCAGAGTTTGAATCTCAGTACCCAAATCCTGTGACTTACATATGCCTGTAACTCAAGTTCTAAGGGATCCAACACCCCTCTTTTGACCTCCGTGGGCACCTGCACACACACAGACACAGACACACATACACATACAAATAAACCTACTTGGATTTCAATAGAAAACTAATACATGTGCCCAAGGTTGGGACGCTGTTCAGCCTTTAGGATGTAGGGCCTAGCTGGAGGAAGTAGGTTAGTGGGTTTCTAGGGAGCAAGTCTGGTTACAGCAGATTACTCCTGACCTGATTCATTCTCTCTCTCTCTCTCTCTCTCTCTCTCTCTCTCTCTCTCTCTCTCTCTCATCTATCTATCTCATCATTATCTCTGCTTCTTGATCCACCTAAATGTAAGCAAGCAACTAATGCCATACCTCTCTAACCATGGCAGACTATATTATATCCCCTCAAACCTCAAGCCAAACAAAATCCTTCCTCTCATAAGTTGCTTCTTTCTTTTGGGTATTTAACCACAGTGATAGGAAAAATAATAGATGAAGGGTAAACATTAAGATCATGTCTTGTGTTTGTCTGCTCATTCATGTACCAGTTGGCATCTTCCCAGACACATCTAGGAAGTCTTCCTTGACTCTCAAGATAGCTCTTCTATGACTCCCTTATCATTTTTGTCCCATGTCAGGGACTGGGAATGTACCTCAGGTGGCAGAATGCGTGCCTAGAGTGCATGAATTCTTGGGTTTAATTCTCAGCACCAAATAAACTGTGCCTGGTAGTTTCTAATCTCAGCACTTGGGAAGCAGAAGCAGGAGGATCAGGAATTCAGGTCATCCTCAGCTACTTATTGAATTTGAACTCAGCCTGAATGGCTACTGAGACTGTCTCAAAAAAATTTTTTTTAATTTTATTTATTTTTTTATGTGTATGAGGGTATTGCTTGCATGTATGTAAGTGCACCTGTGTCATGCAGTGCCCTCAGAGGTCAGAAGAGGGCATCAGATCCACTGGAACTGGAGTTACAGACTGTTGTTAGCTGCCATGTGGGTGTGGGAACTGAATCTGGGTCCTCTGCAAGAGCAACTAATACTCTTAACTGCTGAGCCAGCTCTCCAGCCCCCTCAAAAGAAAAAAAATTTAAGTGTCTGTATGTGGGGGCTGCAGAGGTGGTTCAGTGGTTAAGAGCACTGACTGCTCTTGCAGAAGACATGGGTTTGGCTCCCCGCACCCACATGGTAGCTAACAACCATCCATAACTCCAGTTCCAGGGAATCCAATGCCTTCTTCTGACCTCCACAGGCAATTGCACACATGGATGCACTCATATACGTTTAGGCAAAACACTCATACACATAAAATAAAAATAAATTAATTTTTTAAAAAGAGAGAATGTCAGGGCTGAAGAGATGGCTCAGCAGTTAAGAGCACTGACTGCTCTTGCAGAGGACCCAGTTTCCCAGTTTCGATTACCAGCACCCACATGGCGGCTACAAACCGTCCTTAACTCCAGTTCCAGGGGAATCTGAAGCCCTCTTCTGACCTCTGCAGCACTGCACAACATGGGTACACTCACATACATGCAGGCAATACACTTATACACATAAAATAAAGTAAATAAATAAAAATAATTTTTAAAAAAAGAGAAAGAGAGAATTGTCACATTCA